AGAAACACTTACATAAAGTTCCAGAGGAGGAAATATTTATCACTTGATTGTCTGAGGCTATCCTTATCCTGCTGTCAAAACCAGAGAATGTAATCAGAAGAAAAAAAAGAAAAACCACTACCAACCAATATCTTTCACACAAAAGAGATAGAAAAATTCATAACCAAAGTTTAGCAAATCAAATCAACAGTATTTAAAGAGGAATAATAAATTTATCTTAGGAATGCAAGGATGATTTACTATCAAAAAATCAATGTAAAAAAGGCAACAAAAAGCAGTCAATCAAAACAAAACAAAACAAAAGCAGTCAATGTAATTCATTATATGCATAGATTAAGGGAGAAAAACCATACGAATATCTCAGTAGATAAAGACAAAATTCAGCATCCATTCCTGTTAGAAACTCTCAGCAAAGTAGGAATAGAAGGGAACTTATTCTACTGATTAAGGATATCTATGAAAAATGGGTCTCCAACATCATACTTAATGGTGGAAGACTGAGTGTTTTCCTCCTCAGATTAGGAACCAGGCAGGGTTATCTGCTCATGATCACTTCTATTCAACACTGAGCTGGAAGTTCTAGCCAATCTGTTTAGGCAAGGAAAAGAAATAAAAGGCTTCGCTTGAAAGAAATTGAAGAAGACACAAAGAGATGGAAAAATATTCCATGCTCATGGATTGGCAGAATTAATATTGTGAAAATGTCAATGTTACCCAGGGCAATTTACACGTTTAATGCAATCCCTATCAAAATACCATGGACTTTCTTCAGAGACTTAGAACAAATTATTTTAAGATTTGTGTGGAATCAGAAAAGACCCTGAATAGCCAGGGGAATTTTAAAAAAGAAAACCATATCTGGGGGCATCACAATGCCAGATTTCAGGTTGTACTACAAAGCTGTGGTCATCAAGATAGTGTGGTACTGGCACAAAAACAGACACATAGATCAATGGAACAGAATAGAGAACCCAGAAGTGGACCCTGAACTCTATGGTCAGCTAATATTCGATAAAGGAGGAAAGACTATCCACTGGAAGAAAGACAGTCTCTTCAATAGATGGTGCTGGGAAAATTGGACATCCACATGCAGAAGAATGAAACTAGACCACTCTCTTGCACCATACACAAAGATAAACTCAAAATGGATGAAAGATCTAAATGTGAGACAAGATTCCATCAAAATCCTAGAGGAGAACACAGGCAACACCCTTTTTGAACTTGGCCACAGTAACTTCTTGCAAGATACATCCACGAAAGCAAAAGAAACAAAAGCAAAAATGAACTATTGGGACTTCATCAAGATAAGAAGCTTTTGCACAGCAAAGGATACAGTCAACAAAACTAAAAGACAACCTACAGAATGGGAGAAGATATTTGCAAATAACATATCAGATAAAGGGCTAGTTTCCAAAATCTATAAAGAACTTATTAAACTCGGGATCCCTGGGTGGCGCAGCGGTTTGGCGCCTGCCTTTGGCCCAGGGCACGATCCTGGAGACCCAGGATCGAATCCCATGTCAGGCTCCCGGTGCATGGAGCCTGCTTCTCCCTCTGCCTGTGTCTCTGCCTCTCTCTCTCTCTCTCTCTCTCTCTCTCTCTCTCTCTCTGTATGACTATCGTAAATAAATAAAAAAAAATAAAAAAAAGAACTTATTAAACTCAACAGCAAAGAAACAAACAATCCAATCATGAAATGGGCAAAAGACATGAAGAGAAATCTCACAGAGGAAGACATAGACATGGCCAACATGCACATGAGAAAATGCTCTGCATCACTTACCATCAGGGAAATACAAATCAAAACCACAATGAGATACCACCTCACACCAGTGAGAATGGGGAAAATTAACAAGGCAGGAAACAACAAATGTTGGAGAGGATGCGGAGAAAAGGGAACCCTCTTACACTGTTGGTGGGAATGTGAACTGGTGCAGCCACTCTGGAAAACTGTGTGGAGGTTCCTCAAAGAGTTAAAAATAGACCTGCCCTACGACCCAGCAATTGCACTGTTGGAGATTTACCCCAAAGATTCAGATGCAATGAAACGCCGGGACACCTGCACCCCGATGTTTCTAGCAGCCATGTCCACAATAGCCAAACTGTGGAAGGAGCCTCGGTGTCCATCGAAAGATGAATGGATAAAGAAGATGTGGTTTATGTATACAATGGAATATTCCTCAGCCATTAGAAACGACAAATACCCACCATTTGCTTCAACGTGGATGGAACTGGAGGGTATTATGCTGAGTGAAGTAAGTCAATTGGAGAAAGACAAACAGTGTATGTTCTCATTCATTTGGGGAATATGAATAATAGTGAAAGGGAATATAAGGGAAGGGAGAAGAAGTGTGTGGGAAATATCAGAAAGGGAGACAGAACATAAAGACTCCTAACTCTGGGAAATGAACTAGGGGTGGTGGAAGGGGAGGAGGGCGGGGGCTGGGGGTGAATGGGTGACGGGCACTGAGGGGGACACTTGACGGGATGAGCACTGGGTGTTATTCTGTATGTTGGTAAATTGAACACCAATAAAAATTAATTTATTAAAAAAAAAGGCTTCGCTATTGGGAAGAAGTAAAATTGCCATTATTCACTGGTGACATGATTATCTATATAATAATCTATTATGATTTTGTTATGAATCTTATAAAAATCCTGCAGAGTCTATAAAAACACTACTAGAATAAGTGGAGCTTAAGCAGGTTGTAGGTACAAGACCAATACGCAAAAATCAATTGTTATTACTGATATAAGGCTGGAAACTTACAAAAAACTTTTTGTAATAGCATCACAAAATATGAAATAGATACATTTGCTAGAGGATAAGACTTTTGCACTGAAGACTCTTAAAACGTCAGTGAGGAGTTCAGACTGAACGAAAGACAATGATTTGATTTTTTTCAAATGTAGGCACCTCTGAGTGTGAGCCATTTCATGGAGCCCTCTGTTCTTACCTCGTGCCTTCACAGTGTTTCATTGTCTTGTTCAGGAACTATAAGTGGTAATAAATTAAACAGATCTAATTCCCCTTTCTGATGTTTCATTAACACTTCTTTGGCTCAGGAATTATAAGTGAGAAATACAAAAGGAGAAAATGAAGCTTCTGTTTTCTGGCAAGCCTAAGCTAAGAGGTTTCAAGTGTCTGCCAGGTGGATCCTGGCTCTAGAGAGGTTTGCTTGGACCTACAGGGTTTTAAAAGTCAGAGAATTTCACCTAAAACCTCAGAGTTTTGTTTTTAGTGTTTTCATTTAAATGTTTAGGCAACCAATAAGAATGGCATGGCAACAGCCCCTTTAATAGGATGCACGCCCAGATTTCACAGCACCCCTCACCCCGTTTGACCTGTCTACTCACTCAGGTCAACTGGTTGGCCCATGTGAATGTGTTTGGCTAAGAATCATTTTAGTTTTTTGTTTTATATTTGAACATCTGTGCCTGGGACCAGCCTGCTGAGTCTGAGCCATTCATGCTGGACTGGGGGGGTTCTATTGTGTAGCAGAAGAGCACCACACTAGTAAGACCTAGCCCTGGCTGTGAACATACCTTCGTTAAAGGTGTGACATGGAATATGTGCTCTCAAGAGTGGGGACTTGTCTTGGTAACTTCTTATTTACCTTGTCCCCAGAATGCTTGGTAGTAGGTATTTTAAATGCATGTAACATAAATGAATAAATGATATTTTAATTTTTGTATATATTCGGCCCTCTAAAAGGTAAATGTGCCTAGAAAAAAACACTCCCTAATTCTGATGTGTGGGTTTTGTCAAGTTTTCTTTATAAATAACACATGCATGCAGTTTTAAGGTCAGAACATAAAAGGAAATCAGTAAAAAAAAAAAATCTTCCCACTTCTCTTTTACCAGTACACCATGCTCTCCCCAACCCCAAGAATATAAAAACAAATACAAACATATATTCTTACTTTTCCCCCATTTTACTTGAAAGGTGGCTTACTTTAAAAATAATGGTCTGGGGAGTACCTGGGTGGCTCAGTTGGTTAAGCATCTGCCTTCAGCTCAGCTCATGATCCCAGGATTCTGGGAGCAAGCCCCACATCAGGCTTCCTGATCAGCAGGGAGCCTGCTTCTCCCTCTCCCTCTGCCTGCTGCTTCTCCTGCTTGTGCCCTCACTTGCATGCTCTGTCAAATAAATAAAATCTTTAAAAAAAATTGTCTACCTTATGCTTTCTTTTATCTTTAACATATCTTAAAGATCTCAATAATAGAGCATTTCCTTTGCATCTTTTTTTTTAGTTGAAAAATATATTTCCTTTTTGGGGCATATTATAATTTAATAAGTCTCCCCAGTGGAGGACATTTGGATTTTTATGAGCATTTACTATTGTAAACAGTACTACAGTTAGTACCTTTGTATGTATGTCTTATTACGCACAGTTGTGAGAGTGTGCAAAATGTATCTCTGTGATCAGTTCTTGAAGTGGAATTGCTAGATCAAAGGATATATGCATATGTAATTTTGATCTATATCAAATTGCCCTCTGCCATACACACATTCTCAGGCATTTGAAATTCTATTTTAAAAAGAATATTTAATTTGTTTTTGTTTTCTTTTCTTTGAGGAGTTAGTTACATTGTAGGTTATCTGAATTTTGGTAAGAGTAATAACATTTGTCTTGATCCTTGGTTTCTATACTGGCCTGACCAATTCTCAGATTCATATGCTAAATGAATGTCACCATATAGAAAATAGTAGCTCACCCAGGAATGCTATGTATAGCAAATGCTATTGTATTTAATAAAATGACAATTCATTTAATAATGTGACTGAATTCTTAGTTCAACTAATAACAGCTCAGCATCTCCTCAATGCTTCCATTGTTTTAGATGACCTTTGGATTTTGATGGCATGTTAGCTTCATTTTGCGTTCTGTCAAATTTTTGAAGTGAGCTTGGTCTGGAGATCTAGAAGAACATAAAAGACTATGCATATACCACAAGTGTCTATATGAATATGATAAAAATAATATTTCTCTTACAGATATTCCTTTAAGGACCAGCCTGCCACCACCATTCAGAAATTATAAATATGGTAACTAATTTTACTTTTTAAAAACATATTAATATAATTTCACATTAGTTTCATGTTGATAGCAATTTGAATTGGGTTTTCAAAAATGAAGCTACTGGAATGCCTGGGTGGCTCAGTGATTGAGCTTTGCCTTCGGCTCAGGGCGTGATCCCGGAATCCCGGGATCAAGTCCTGTGTCCGGCTCCTTGCGTTGGAGCCTGCTTCTCCCTCTGCCTGTGTCTCTGCCTTTCTCTCTCTCTGTCTCTCATGAATAAATAAATAAAAATAAAATCTTAAAGAAATGAATCTACTATCTATAAATAAAAACCAACATGGAAACTTATTTAGAAGTATAGGAATTCTGGTGTATCCCTGAAGTGAATTCTAATAGTGTATGAAAGTGGCCTATTTGTGAGCAACAAATAACATGTTTGGCAAATGATGTCTAAAATGAATTTGTCAGGTAACCGGGAAAGGAAAATGATTTAAGACTAAGAATTAAGAGGTTAAACATTTTAAATATCACTAACTTGGGCACAGTATATAGTAATTTTGTTGTAGTAGTTGATTTAAAAAAATGCGGTAATTAGGCAGGTAGTTTGGTTTCATTATTTGGTATAAAGATGGTACAGTTATTAACCTTCAGCACAGTGACACTCACCAAACTTTGAGACCTCACTTGAAAATTATGACGCATCTAATAAATATTTCTGTTAATTGGTACAGGGACATTTTTTGAAGTATAAATTTTTTATTACCTCGGATCATTTTTTGGAGTGCCTTTTAATTCTGTTCCCATTTGGTGGAGCAACTTATGACCTAAAATACTTTGAAATCACAATCTTCACCGTGTGTATGCATTCTAATATCCAGAGACTAATTGTGAGGTCATAAGGGGTAGTCAAGCAGAAGTTGAAGGCACTAAGCGGAAAGTACTTTGATTTATTGGGCTTAAAGAATTTACATACTAAATATTGAATAAGAGAAAGGAATAAAAAGCACGATTAAGTAAATATGAAACTTCTCAATTCTGGCTTTCAGAGTATAATGACTTGCAATATAATCTTAAACTTGAATCAACCTACAGATGCCATTTCCTTTTCTGCATGAGGGGTGTGTGTGTGTGTGTGTGTGTGTGCATGCATGTGCGCGCGCATATATATGCATACATATTCAAACTTGTGTTCCATGTAAACTATTTGAAAGATAAATTTTAGATACCTACAGCATTAGAGTATCTGACTGTTACTCATCACGGTGATAGATCATGTACCTTTTATATCTTCCCACCTTATGAACAGTTTTGTCCTAGGAGTTGAATACTATTCAGGTGAATTGGCAGAAGAAGTAAATACATTTATCTCTGACATTAGAAACTAGACAACCACCAGGGTTTTGATAGACTTCCAGTGACTCAGTCTGAGTTGGGTTTGGCTCTGTAACAATCTGTTGCTTTGTGTCCAGCAAGAAAGGCCAAACGTCACTTTCTCACATGTCATTGTCCTCCAGTATTGCCACCTGCTCTGTGGAAATAGAACACATTGGGTGTTGAGGAGTGGAAAGGGTGCAGAGTCAGATTTCTGCTTTTCTGGTTGCGGTCTCTGTGCCCTTGGGCAAAGGGCGGGCTTGCTGTCCAGGCCACGGGGAGTATGAGATTTCTCAGGGCCCCTCCTCCTATTTAATTGGCATCTACATCTATGATTGGTTTATCCCGACCAGGCTGTGTTCTAAAGCACATTGGATGCTGTCTTATTTTTAAATCCTTTTTACCTAGACACTGTGCATGTGTGCAGTAAATACTGGTGGCTGTGCAGTGCAGGGCCACTGATACTGTTTATTTCATAAGGCCGTATGAGATTAAACCATGCTTGTGTGAACAAATCAAATGCCCCACAAATATATTATTTTTATTTTTAGGAGATTACTTTCCTCAAGGAATTTGCATTTAGGGTACAATACCCACAGATGTTGTTTCTGTTAACAATGAAATTTTTTTTAAAAAAGAAGTAAAAACAAGTGAAAGATTATTCAACAAGGAAAGGGACATTATTAGTACAGTATCTTTTGCCAGCTTGTTTCTCTGACCCTCCTTTTTTTTTTTTTAAAAGATTTTATTTATTTATTCATGAGAGACACACTGAGAGAGGCAGAGACACAGGCAGAGGGAGAAGCAGGCTCCATGCAGGGAGCCTGATGTGGGACTTGATCCCAGGACTCCAGAATCATGCCCTGGGCTGAAGGCAGACGCTAAACCGCTGAGCCACCCAGGGATCCCCTTCTCTGATCCTCTTAACAAGTCTTACCAGTTTCTGTTGGAGAAAAAAATCTGAAAATTTCTGTTCAAGTCATTTCTTCTTCTGCTTAAAAAAAATGTGGCTTTCTTATTGTGGGTTTGCGGGACCCATAGAGCAAGGATTCATCTAATTTAAAGGCTCTTTAGCAAAATATATAAAACATGATTAATATTTGGGAAGGTCAAACTATAGTTTTGCATGTTGGTTGTAACAGACTTTAAGCAGAATCCTTTTACTTAAAAAACTGTTACTGGCTTTACTAACTTGTCTTTAATAATAAACTGATACCCATCTATAGTGAGAAAAAGATAATAGGTAGCTCAGAATAATAGACAATCCAAAAGCCAACTTGTTTATTTTCTTGTGTACGTTCTGAGCTTATTTTTAGCAATTGTGGTATATTTACATTCCATATATGCATTTTTCACTTAGATTTAGTTTTAGTTCTCAACTATATGTAGTTACAGTCCTAGGATTAGGCAGATATTGTGTTAACAATTGCAATAGAGGGTGACAGGCACTAAGGAGGGCACTTGATGAAATGAGCACTGGGTGTTATATGTTGGCAAATTGAATTTAAATATTTAAAAAATTGCAATAGATAACTGAAAGTTGACCTTTTAAAATCATGGGTAATTCAGAGCGCTAGAGCTCTTAAGTGGATTGCAATCCTATTCTCTTGTATTATTAGAACAGTTAAGGCCTGTTTTTTAAGTAGATCCTGTCACTTCATTTTACTGTTGGACTTCTTTATTGAATTGAATAGTATGATTGCTAGAAATGAAATTAGTTTAGGTTATGAGTTTATGCAGAGAGAATAGTATATGTAATCATAATATATTAATTAGCTGGTTAAATAAAACTGAGTGAAGAATTGGAAACTTTCTGACTTGAAACCCGTTGAATGCTCAGACCCGGCTATAATTAGGAGCTCACTGTTGCAGAGTCAGACTTTACCCAGTGTAGAGGAATGACTTCTTAGAAAAGCACAGTGTAGCCTGACTTCAAGATAAACAGATTAAGGAGTGAAGGAGGATTGAATAAAGCAGATTAGGTGGTGTGAACCTGTGCAACATTTCAAAACCAGGAGGCAAATACTGATATTCTTTGGGCCTTAGCAGTCCTGCTCGGATTACCAGTGATCCTGAACTCTGAGAGTGGTAATAATTTGTCAGGATGATAATTTGACCTCCTGTCACTGTATGTATTCTGAGAGATTGGTAGGATTTTTTTCAACTATTTACATTAATGTGCAACATGTTTTATATTATTTGCTAATCATAGCCTTTTGTGACTCCAAAAAAAACCAGGATAGAGTAATATCCACCCTCTTCTAAGGGAAAATGTGCTGAATTCACTGCAGGTTATGGCACACAGTTGCATGTGTCAAAGACCAAGGCTTTTTTTTTTTTTAAGACCAAGGCTTTCAAATATTTTTATATATCAGTCACCTTTAACATGATGCTATATAAAAGTAATTTTTCTTTTACTGTATTCTAGATTTTTAAATGGAGCTGATCAGAAGGCAAGGACTTAAGTTTCTCAATTTCACAGCTGTAGCCTCCCATTTCAGATTATTCAAATGAAGTTTTAAAATAATCTTTTACAAAGACTTCTTTTTCCCTTTCAGATAAACTCAAGATTGTTCATCAAGCACATAAAGCAAAGGTATGTTTCATATGTACTGTATCTGGCACATAGCAAGTAATAGCTTTCTCAGTGAATAAGTGAATGAACACACATACTTCTAAATTATTTTCCATTATAATAGCATTTTAAAAATTTTAAATAATTTTTAAATATGCTTTCTACAGCCATTAAGGGAAAAAAAACCCCACTAAGTCCCTGTGAGTAGGAGATCCTTTTAAAAAATGTTAATTTTTTGAAAAGCAAAAACAAGCACAAGCACAAAACTTGGTAAATTGAGGTTACAGATAAAGCCATTCATTGTCTGGCAGTCTGATCCACTTAATTTACTTAATTCTGTACCAGAAGGAAAGAGCCAAAAGCAGTTAGAAATAATCTGCTTTTTCTGACCTAACTCTTCGTGTGTGTAAGAGAAGATCCAGCACTGTGACTCTTGGGAACAAACCTACTTGCAGAGAGACCATGGCCTGCAGTCCTAACAGTATCTTACCTGCCCCAAACAGAACTCTTTGTTTATCATGTATTTACATTTCTGTTTCCTCATTCTTTTTAGAGGAATATATTTATAAAGCCACAGTCGAAGGTTTGCTTCTCATACAGACTAGAGCAATCTTTTTTCTTGAATCTCAGTGACTTTGCATTGACTCCTCATTAAAGCCATTATCTTATTCTGTAATTCTGTAATACAAACTACTCAAGAGCAAGGGTCCGTAATTATTCTTCATATCTCCAATAGCTGGCATAATGCCTCATTCATAGGAGTGTTTCTGTAACAATTTTTGAATTAAGTGTTTCTTGATTGATTATTTATTTATTAGAGAGAGAGAGAGAGAGAGAGAGAGAGAGAGCACACACAAGCACACATAGAAAGAGAGGGAGAAACAGACCCCTCCCTGAGCAGGGAGCCTGATGAGGGGCTCCATCCCAGGATCCTGGGATCATGACCTGAGTTAAAGGTAGCTGCTTAACTGACTGAACCACCCAGGTGCCCCAAGTATTTATTTTTGAATTCACCTAATTTCATTGTTTTCTCTAGTCCTGGACACCCAACATAAACTCATTCAGCTTTCTCAAATAACTGTATACCAGAGGGTACAAAGAAAATGGCATGAGGGTATGGCTGTCGACTCTGACTTAGAAACTTCAAAAAACATTTTTTTCCTTGTAGCTTAAAACAACACACGTTTATTCTCACAGTTTTTTGAAGGCCAGAAGTCCAAAATCAGTTTCACTAGACTAAAATCAAGGGCAGGACTGGTTCTTTCTAGTAACTTTATTTTTTTATACCCAGGTTATATGTACAAACTTGACAATATCCCTTGTCAGATGCTTTAAAATTTAGTGTTCACATGTGTCGGGAGTTGTGGTGTGGAATCTGCACTTTGTATGGGTACTAGAATGTCCACTGTGTCCGGCCATAGTCATCATTCTTTTTCTCTTTTCTCGGCCAGGTGGGTTTATAACTTTGTCTCTAAAGTGTGGAGAATAGGAAGTGTGGGTTTCTCATAGGGGGAAAATACACACACACATACACACACACACACACACACACACACACACACGAAATAAAGTTATAATGAAACAATATACTCTTTGAAAAAGTTGTAGAATATTTCATGTCATTCTCTACTCAATGTTGCATTTTTACATTGTTGGGCTTGTTCATATGCTCATATTTTCCAAATGAAAACCTAATTCTGTAATATTCAAATAATTGATATTATGATACTTAAATCAAGTATCATTTCCTCATGTATTTGGAAATCTCTTAGAATGGTTTCTTATATTATAAACACATGTTCCAACCTGGCATGTTAGAGTTATAGAATTAGGGCTTATCTTTCCAGTTGAGCAATGTATTAAAAGAGGGATTCCCAAAACAAATTAAGTTGCTTAGAATGTTTCTAGAACCTGGCTTTATAAATTTTCATCGAAACCATAACAATTCTAGTTAAGTACAGACTATATACCTCCTGGGGATGATTCTTCACATTTTCTCTTTAGCTTTTATAAGGAAAGGGGTTGTTATATTTTTAAAGATACAGTTTTAAAACTTCAGAAAAACTTTACCCAAAAGCCCTCGTTGTGCTTTATCCAGCTTCCAGACATTTTTCTCATTTCCCCAGCTGCTTCTACTTCCCATTCTCTGTTCCGCATCTGTAGGACTTGTCAGCATCCGTGGGACCAGCCCATCAGTTTTCCAACCCAGCTGTGATTTTAGTTCCCTTTCTCAGCCAAAGGAAGAGACTTCCAAATGACTCCCATATCTTCATGAACTTAATCACGAAAGGCATATTCCCCATTCCCCTAATATTCTACAGTTAGAGGCTTTCTTAATTACCAGATATCCACAGAAATTTCTTCCCATTATTGCAATAAAAAGCTGCCTGGATACCTTCTCACGAGAGCCTCCTATTTGGACTATGAGCTCAGTTTTTATTGAATAGATGAATCAATAGTACAGTGCAAGTAATTACCATAATATGATTTATGGTTATCAAGAAAATGTACTTGTGTATGTATTATGGATTATAATCAGTGGGCTGTTTGCAGAGTCAGAATAATTCCTATTAAAATGATTTAAAATAAAAACTCTAATTTCTTTGTGAGTTTGGAAAGCAGATAGCTACTCTTGTTAAAAGTTTATGAAAGGAAGAAGTCATATCCTAGAATAAATTTTATAAGAAATGTCCAAGATCTTTAAGAAAACTTTGGAATGCTAGTGAAGATCATTCAGTTGTCCACACTCATTGAACTGAACTCCCCTTAAGATCTGTGCATTTTATTTATTATTTATGTATTTCTTATTTTTACTTATTTATTTATGATCTTAGTCCTGGGATTGAGCCCCACTTGGCAGTCTGCTTCTCCCTCTGCCTGTCCCCCTGCTCGTGTGTGCACTCTTGCTCTCTCTGTCTTGCAAAAATAAATAAATAAAAATCTTAAAAAACAAAACAAATAACCCCCCCCCCCCTTAATTTCTGTGCTCTGGAGGTCAAAGCCCTGTACTTTCCAGTGGGTGAAGTTATGGTCTGTGGAGCATGGCTTCTGGGCCTTCTATTTTGGCTACTGGAGTGGCCTTTCTGTTCTCTTTTAGCCATCTAGAAATAGACTATATTGCTAGGCAGCTACATTCTGGCTGACAGGTGGTTTGTCTAACTAGTGGTCACCTCTATGCTTTTTAGGGGCAGATATCAACTCAAAATCTTCTCCTATAGTTATAATGTTTAACTGGATTTGTAAATTTCATTGGAGGGCAAACTCATCCACCGCCATCCCAAACCTCATAGAGAAAGGTTACTGTCAGTATGACACAGGATCAAGTTAATATGACATCGGAGCAGGTGTTTACTAGGTAGGGCAAAGTTTTTAGATACATAGACTTTTGGCCATCAAGGTAAACTTGCTTGTCTCCAAAGTCATACTGATCAGAGCTCAGGCCTCAGTTCCATATACTCTTGGGTCTGGTTTTTTGTTTGTTTGTTTTAAGATTTTACCTATTTATTTTACTTATTTATTTATTTTTTTCCTATTTATTTGAGAAAGAATGTGTGCGTGTGCGCACAAGTGGGGGTGGGGTGGGGGGTAGGAGGATGGGAGAGTAGAGAGTGGGAGAAAGGAAGGAAGGAGAAGGAGAAGCAGACTTCCCACTGAGGAGGGAGCCCAATGAGGAGGACCTGGATTCCAGGACCTTGGGATCATGACCTGAGCCAAAGGCAGACGCTTAACCTACTGAGCCACCCAGGCACACCCTCTGGGTCTGTTTCTCAACTTCTCTGACACCTAGTGTGTTGTGAGGATGAGATGAGGAGGAAGAGGAGGATGACAGCCACAGAAGAGCAGCAGCTAACATGGAGAGGCCTTGCTCTGTGGCTGATACTCCCTTACGGTTTTCTGTACATCATTTCATTTCATGCTCACCCCAGGGCAAAAGAGAAGATTCATTCCCCCCCCCCCCTTTTTAGAGCTAGAGATTGAGGAGCATGGTGTGGGAAGGGGGACAGGGAGAGAAAGAATCTTAAGTAAGCTCCATGCTGGGCCAGTTTGTAACCTGATATGGGGCTCCATCTCATGACCCTGAGATTATGACCTGAGCCAAAATCAAGTTGGGCGCTTAACCAACTGACCCACCCAGGGCCCCCTTCCTTTTTTTTACAGGGGAAGAAACTGAGTCTCAGAGAGGCTGTGTAGTTTGTTTAGAACATTTAGGGGGGCATGAGTGGAACCCAGAGTTTTGTCCAGACCCAGCCCCAAAGCTCTATGCCAGGGCACTGTCTCCTCAGTGCTTATAGAGTTGTGCACATAGTAGGCACTCACATCCATTTGCTTCTGCCCTGACAGTGATGGGAACAGCATGTGACTTTGGTTATTGCTGTGATCCAGAGTAACATTATTCTGTGTCTTCGAGAAGTCTTACCAAATATGAAGCACCTACGAGTACTGATAAGATGCAGGTTTTCTTTCTAGACGAATGAGCTTGTTTTGAGTCTGGAAGATGATGATACACTCATGCTGAAAGAAGACAGCACGCTGCAAGCCGCTGGAATCGGTGAGAAAGAACGTGGTATGGTACTGGAGGGGTGCTCGCTTCCCCTCTCTGCTGATGCTGGGCTGATGATGTTTGGATAACTCACCGCAAAGTAAATGCTACCCTTGGTGCTCTTTACACTCCCTGATAATTATTCAGAGGAGGAGGATGAGAATGATGTACATTCAGATCATTTGACTGAGGGCAGGAGATATCTGCTTTCCAAATGTGCAGAATGCAAATAAGTTCTTTTCTGCAGGTAAGCGCAGAATTCTGCTGAGGGTTATTTTAAGTGATTGACAGATTATTACTCACTTAATAGCCTACTTACTCTTATCAGCATCATGTGAACTGATGGTTTGAGAGAAATGGACCTGGTAAAACTAATGTGGAATAATGAAGTGAGATGTTGTTTGTATAACATGCAGCGTGACTTCTAATAGTCCTGTAGTTCACTCAGGGCCCTCTGAGTCACGGAATTTCAAATTGGAGCCCCGTGTGTGCAGTTAGAAGGGGGCCCGAGTTAGCTTTTCAACCTACAGTGTGCAAGTAGTTCTGTTTTAAAGAAACGCCATGTGCCATGTATTGTCACCATTAGATGTCACTCTAATTCTGTGTATGTACATCTAAAGATTATCTGGCAATAGGAATGAAGATTTACGAAGACTGTGAGCTGTTGAAGATGCTATGCCCCTGACATACCTTTGTGGTTGGCGACTCTAATGAAACAGCACAGATCACACTTACTTATACACACTGGTTAAGGGGCACTCTAGAGTGAGGTTCATGTTAGGAAGCCTTACAATTTTTTTTGACAGGTGTTCTATTGAGTTATTTTAGTGACATATGTCAGGAATTCAGTTTTGAGTGATGTGTGGCTAAAGTGGGTTCCTGACAAGTCTTCTAATTTAAATAGGATTTTTGTTTTGCTTTGTTTTGTTTTTAAATAGGATTTTAAATAACATGCTACAAAGTCTTAGACTTACTTTCCTTGTTTGTCTACCATGAGCTACCTTTAGTGTCTTTTCATATTATAAATATGTAAGATCGCTGTTATTTGAAAACAGTTTTTATTTTAGCATTTATTTCTTCCCATGCTACTATTTCAACTATAGCAAGTGGCACCTAGAAGTTAGGCCTGCTTGTTGTTAAAGCATAAAGATATAATTATTATAACAGACTGGTTTGGTATTGATGTAGGGATTGAAAACTCCATGGAAAAGATCAGAAACAAACTTAAAAAAAGTTAAGATTTCACAAAATGATAAAGTTTTTACCTTTCAAAGAAGGGGGGTAAGAATGAATTAGCCAGAAAATGGCCCATTTGCCAAAGCATTTGGGAAAATAAAATTTAAATCATATCTCAACCTTTTTTTTTTTTTAATTTTTTATTTATTTATTTATTTATTTATTTACGATAGTCATACAGAGAGAGAGAGAGGCAGAGACACAGGCGGAGGGAGAAGCAGGCTCCATGCACCGGGAGTCCGACGTGGGATTCGATCCTGGGTCTCCAGGATCGCGCCCTGGGCCAAAGGCAGGCGCCAAACCACCGCGCCACCCAGGGATCCCATATCTCAACCTTTATTTCAAAATAAATTGTAGATGGATTATATGTCATAATGTAAAAAAAAAAAAAAGAATTTTAAATAAAATGTAGCTTAGTAGTTTCCTGATCTTGGGGAGAAGAGCTCTCTAAGCACGACCTTGAAGGCAGAGTAATAAAGTGGGGAGAAATGATAGATTTGCCTACATAAAAACTAAAAAAATGTAAACAGAGTTAAAAGGAGAAGCACTAAACTATACAATAATATACTTCACATATGACAGAAAGTCATTAGCCTGAATTTATAAAAAGCTCTTACAATTAGCTTGAAAAAAAGATCAGAAATCCTACTGATGGAAGAAATAGCTAACATGAAAAATAGGTCAGCCTTATTAGTCCGGAGAGAAATGCACATGAAGATAGATGTTATTTTATGTAGTATCCTAGTCTCGTGGTTAAGAATTAGAGACCAGAGCCAGAGTGCGTGGGGTTTACAGCCTGATTCTGCTGTGTACGGGCTGGGTGACCTTGGACAGGCAGTAATTTTAAGCCTCGCAGACATGAAAAAAAGTGATAGTATCCAAGAGAGTGTTGGGAAGTGGATACTCTCTTGTACCACTGTTGGGAACATATATTTCCTCTAACTTCCTGTAGGTCAAGTTGGCCAATAAGACTTTGTCACTCTTAACTTTCTGTTGCAACTGTTAACCAGGCCAACAGGAATATGCTTCCTCAACCTCTGTGTCACCCCTGAGGTTGAGATGTGCCTTCAGAGGGGTGGCGGGCTTCTCTCACCTTCCTCATTTGTGAATCACCAATGTAGAGCTTTCTTTACTGAATGGAAATAGAATGTGTTGTGTGATACCATTGTTGTTTAAGAAGGTATATATTTACACATCTATAGGCGTATATGAAGAAAAGATTATGTAACAAAATTGTAGAAATAGTTCTCTGGGCAGTGGTGGCATGGCAAGCGATTTTTTTTTTCCTTCTTGCTATTATATAGTTGTTCTTGTAATATAAAATTTTTCTACAGCGCACTTGTACTATTTGTAAATTAAGGACCCAATTTCAAAGAATAGACTCCTAAAGTTGGAGAAAATTGATTTGAGTGAGGGTTGCACATTTTACTTATTTTGTGACCTTTCATAAGGCATTTAGTATTTTTGAACTTCTGTTTTGATTTCTGTAAAACAAAACAGAAGCAATTAAACCTGTTTCAAAGTGTTGTCCTAAGAGATGAGTGGAAAAAAAACACGACATGAAAACATCTGGAACAATGCACGTGGAGACCCTCAGAAATACGTATTTGGGAGCCATTTTAGAGAAAGCGATTGGCAAATGTTTTGAATTTATTAAAAACCTGAATTGTTGGATTCACTGTCGTTAATTTCAGACTTGTGTAATGAGCCCCCTGTAGAGGTAAGAATCAAACTCATCTCGTCATCGCCACGGGTCTTTGATGAGAATCTGATTCTTTTCACGAGTTCCCTATTGGTTTGAGGGTGGTGTGAGAACCTTACCCTGCCCTTCCGCCCTGGCAAGCCCACAGCCCCAGTGGCTTTCTGTTGTGCATGTCCCTCCGTGTTGCCTGAAGCCAGTGTGGCTGTGCCCTGAAGAAGCTTCGCTTACACACGGGGAAGGAGGCGATGGTCCTTGGAGAGGAACAAAAAATTCTGACTGGGAGTCAAGTTGTAAAAATGACGGTCAAAGTGTGTGATTTTTTTCTAGGGAAATTTCCCCTCCCTCGGTGCAGTGTCAGGTTAGGTTTTTAAGCGGTTTAAGGGAAAAATTCTAAGTCATCACTCTCCCTTTTTACCACTTGATCCTTCGGTAGAGCTGTCACTCTGCCATCACAGCCAGTTGCCATGGGAATGATGCCAATGTAACAAATTTATCATTTGACTTTCCTGCAGAATTCATGAAAGGAAGAGAAGGACTGTGTGTGTTGGAGGGCAGGGGAAATTAGGGGAACAAACTTGTTTGAAGATCTCTTTTCTCACAAGGAAATTCTCCAGTTCCTGCTCTGGCCTTTTATCTGCATTGCAGATCCCAATTGTATATTCTGCGCCTGACGTCGGGGCACATTTTTGCTTGTGGACTCAGAGCTAAAGGACATAAATAAAAAGATTTGCTTTTTGGAAGGAAGAAGAAAAAGCTTTACTTAGAGTTGTTATTTGTAATTTAAAGATTTTTTACCTTGTCATTAATGATTATAGTTTTGTGGACTAATTCCCCTAAGTGGTAAATTTGCATGTAAGTATTTTGGGGATGTCATTTCATCTCATTCTACTACTGTTATCTTTTGAATCCTCTTTCCTAAGGAAAATGGTGGCAGGGTAACTCTTTTCAAGCCAGCTGTGTTTTACTGGAAAGATTTTAAAACAAGATACCATGGACCAAACCATAAGTGCTTATCCGAGGGAAGAGTTTTGTGCATTAAGCCTGGTCCTGTAATCATGCCGAAGCTCCCCTGTGGTCTGTTTTCATTTTGTGTGTCAACTCTTGTCGTCTGCCCACAACCATAACCCTGACTTTGTGCCCCGCACCTTTTGATTATCTCAGATGTATAGCTATTATTGTAGGATTCTTTGGCTCTCACTTCATCAAGATCTTGTTTGATTTGTGTTTCCTGAACGTTCAGGTCTCTCCCATTCTCTTTGGAGTAGTAATATCTTAGGGCCCACATGCTTTCCTCACTTCACGGCGTGTTACAGGGGCTGTTCTTTACCTTAAACACCAAAACAACAGTACTCAGGAAAGTAGGTGAATTTGGGATTCCAGAACAAGGGGTCTGGACTGTCCTTCCTTTTTACCGTTCCCTCATCATTGTGGGAATCACAGGGCAGTGTCCAGTCTATCAGAGGTTAGATTTATTTTATTATCTGTTTTCTTCAAACTTGTTTGAAATCCTCTCTGCCCCTTGATCAAACAAAACAAAACAAAACAAATGCTTGAAGCAAATATAAAATAAAACACTGTGATTGGGAACTCTTGGCCAGATCACTTTGGTGCAAACTGAAGAACAACTCAGCTGAAAAAAAAAAAAAAAAAAAAAAAAAAAACCTCAGCTGTGAGTGTAGTTTTGAATAATTTGTAGATTAGGATTTTATGACCCTTGGAAGGATGGGACATACTCCTGGACCAGGAGAAAGGGTGAAACTTTGTTATTTTGGTCTCAAATTGCTGCAGAAACCAGACCTCACTCTTTCTGTATTTTTTTTTCTTTTTTGACCAATAACCTGCAATTATTATCACATTACAGCCTGGCCTGATCATTAATTGTCTGTATCACAGAATCCGTGCACATGTATAGGTCTCTCTTCTCAGATAACAGTTACTGTGGCTTTCATGCCTACTAGTACAGGCTAGGGAGTTTGAAACTATGCAATAAATCCTCATCGATAGGTGAGTTTTTTGGAATAAATAGTTAAGAGCTTAAGTATATTGCCTTGAATTTTTCTTGAGATTTACCATTTAACATTGGGTTTTTTTTTTACATCCTTTTATTTAAAGTCATTATTATTTTCTTGTTAAAGATGAATGAAAAAAATGAAAAGTATGAAAAAAATGAAGAATGAAAAGAGAAAGATGTATATGTATGGGGTTGACCTATTTGGACACATTATAAAATTATTCATTTCATTTTCCAAGTTTGAATGTCCTGGCTTGCATTCATTTCATTAAACTTGAAAGTCAGTATGAAAAGGGTGCACAGTATTTGGAGAGTTCTTACTTGATTTCATTTGATAGTAAGACAAAGGGATGAATCCAGCACTGTATTTATTGGATTTTAGATTTTACATTCATTTCAGATTCACTTGCCAGGGCACTATGCACCTGAGTGCCCTGCCGCCTGCAGCACATTTAATTTAAAATCAGGTGCCCTAGGGGACTGGCACACAGTAGACTTCCTGAGGGTTCTTCTGGAGCCATTTTAAATAGAATCGAGGAAGCAAGAATTTAAGGGATAATGGCCGAAGGGGTGATTATACAGAGGTCTTGAAAATCTTCTGTAATTTGTTTTCACTTTAATTGGCAAGTAAATTTGTGGTATAATTACAGGAAATCATCCTCAAGCATTTTCAACAGAATTTTACAAATTTTCAAAAGCATTCTGTTTGAGGACCACATTACTAAAGTTTAAAATACATTTTAGGCCTTACTTTTGACTGTTCAGAGTAACCCACTTTGAATTTGTGTGCTGTTTTCCAATTTTTGAAGGGTTTAAGTTTTATCAGCCTTTGTGAAGTATTGGAGTTTAATCCATTTGTCAGTCTTGTTTGCTTTTTTTTTTTTTTTCTGAAAAAAAGATATTCATCTGAAAATCTTTATCTTGGGGGATTCCATTTTGAGCATGTATTGTGAGAGATGGCATATAAAAACTTTAGATAAGCAAGGAATTGACCTATAAGTTAATTAGACCCAAGAAAACCTACATGTCAAAACAAAAAAATGCTTTGTCAGTCCTTTCTTCAGCTTATTCTGAACCTATTATTACCATCCCGAGGAACTATATGATGCATTCGTTTCTCAAAAGGGGTACAGATAAATGTCAACTGCTGTAAGTGAAAATTGTAATTACAGTTAGTGTGTATTGAGCAAAGTGCTGCGTGGGCAAAGCACTATGTAAAGTTCTGTATGTAAATAGCAACTTCGTAGATAAAACCTTGCATTATGATTATGAAGAAGAGAGTGCTTTCTTAGCTTGTTCTCCATTTGGAGGATGATTAGCAGCACTTGCAAATGACATAGGTCTACCTTTGGGATGGCTTCCCTTCAAAAAAGGAAACCCCAGGAGCTTTTATATAAGGGAATAAATCTCGAAATATCTTCTCTTTGAATATTGAATTTTCTGAAGCCCCCTTTTCAGCATTTTACTGATTCCAAGTGTGGATCCTCTTAGCTGTCTTTCAAATGTGCTTTTCTTGTAAAATTCAGCTGTACATGAACTTCCTGTTTGCCTAGGGTTCATCTGTCTCCAGCCCCTCCTTACCGATTCTCTGTCTCAGCTCGGCCCCCATCCCACCCCTAGGCTCACTGTGCCGAGAGTTTGCAATCTGATTTTCATCAAGATTAATCTTCATTTAATCTTGAAGATGCACTGGGACTGGAATGAGGATCTGAGACAATGGGTGACTTTATTCTTTCAACACGTCTGTATTTTCTGTAATGAGCATGGGTCACTCATGATTGAGAAACAATAAATCTGATATTCTTAAAATCAGCAAAGCCTTTTTTTTTTTTTTTTACCTGAAATGTCATGCTAAGCTCCTTCATTTCATTCTTTTGTGATAAATTCTAGTGATGAGATGAGTTTGGTAAACTAAGAAACCAGTGGTAATCCTTGGCATCTTTCCCTAGTATTCTATTTATTTGGCTTGAAGAGTTTTACTTGGCTGTTTTTAGAGGATATGTTAATTGAGTGATCGGTATTCATTACAAATAATCTTGTCTGTTTTCTTGTCGAGAGTCTGCAGGCCCTTTTGCTCTTTCTGTAAAAGCTAAGCAGACTGTATTAACTTCTGGTTTAATTTAGAAAAAAAAATGAATGTGGAACTTGTTGGCGCACACCTTCAAGAATTGCATGTTTAATAATTGGAAGGCTCTCCATCAGATTTGTCTCCAGTCTGAATTAATAATGTTGCTGACTTATTGTTTTAGAAGACGGAGTCCTTGACCTGCTAGGTTGAAAGAATTGTGACTGCTCTGCTCCTTTGCGGGTCCTTTAGCTGTGCCATATCCCCTGTGAATAATTAGAGGTGTTTGAAGGTATTGCGGGAGAAGCCAATTTGTGTCTTTCACTTTGCATATTGTTGAAGCCTCATGAATTAGTCATAAGCAGGCAAAAAATTAACTTCTTCAGACACATATTTTGATGGGTCATGAGGGAGAATGTAAAGTGATCTGTAAAGTATTCTACTGATCTTCTAAGTATTAAATTATTATACCTACAGGCTAATTTCAGAGGGGGAAAAAAAGCATTTTCCCTCCTCCTTCTGTAACTGAGCAGCATATTTGGAAAAAAAATAAGCGATTATTTTCTAGGATTGTTAAGGGGACTATAGCATGAGTAATTTTATGGTTTCCTGGAAACCAGCGTCTTGTACTCATTCTTGTTTTTAATTTTTTTTCTTTTTTCTTTTTACTTTTAAATTATTTTAATTCTAAATTCATATAAAGACAGCTGATGCCTCTTGTTGATTTGGTGAAATGTGAAACCAAACAAGTAGCTCATCTTTCTCACCTTAGGCATCTGAAACACTGAATCAGAGTAATATGGATTTCAATACTTGCTTAAGATCTAGTTTTACATTAAAATTTTTCCATTGTCTTTTTTTTCAGCTCATGAAACTGAAATTGCATTCTTCTGTGAAGAAGATTATAAGAACTACAAAGCTAATCCCATTTCATCCTGGTGAAAACCTCTTGGGGTCTTCCTTTTTGCATACCTGTATTAAGCTCTTTATTCCACTAGTGAGTTTTTGAAATTGACAAATACACTAAAAATTAATCTCAGACTCCTGTTTGAGCTGAAGTCTGTTGTGTTTTCTCCTTCTGCAGGTCTGCCCTTTTTCTTTCTTGTTGGAAAATAGTATATTTATGAGAAAAACGCTTTTTAAAAAAAAGTAAAAGAAATAGTTATCCAAAAATCACTCCACTCACCATGGAGTCCCTAGGTGGCTCTGTTGGTTAAGTGTCTGCCTTTGGCTCAAGTCATGATCTCAAGGTTCTGGGATCGAGTTCTGCATCACACTGGGCTCCCTGCTCAGTGAGGAGTCTGCTTCTCCCTCTCCCCCTCCCCCTGTTCTTTCTCTCTCTCTCTCTTTCTCTGTATCAAATAAAGAAAAAAATCATGGAATATTGGTTCTTTTAGTCATAACTTATTTTTCTGAAATTAGGGGTTATTTGGATGGGTTGCATGTTGGGTTCTTTAAAAAGATTATAAGACTAAGGTCATTCTGTTCATTTTGTATTTTTCTCATAGTTTTATCAGAACCACTGTACACTGTTACTGTCTTGGGTTAGCAGAGATTTGGAGTCTCTCATGACTACCAGTGCTACCTTTTGCTCGTGATGATACACCACCATGCATGAATTGAATTGTGTGTATTTTAGAGAGGTTTTCTGATATAAGAGGGTTTCTTCTTCTTTTTCATATTTCATCCCACACAAATAACATGGCTGAATTTTTTTTCCTCCCTGAGTTATGTTTCCTTACTTTAGGGGCAGCTATAATAGAACCAAACTCATTTCTTTGGAGAGAGAAGGTAGCAGGATGTTTGCACTTCTGGAAGAAAATTGTTCATTGAGAACAAGTCTAAGTCATGGAAGATACATTCTTTCAAAATAACTGATAATGGCTACTACCAGTACCTGAAGAGTAGGGATTTCAAAAGGGACCTCTCAGCCAGCATGTATATCTAATCAGAACTCCACGGGGTTACTTGGCTCTAGAATTATTCTAAGAACCTTAAAATTGCTGGTAGGGCATATTGGTTTCATTGTGGTAGAGGCTAACTTAAGAAAAAAAATCAGCTTTGAAAGTCTGGTTAACATAATAAGAATATGTTTTTTTTTACTTTGCTGAGAGACTTAGTAGAGCCATGTTTATTTATTTATTTATTTTTTTAAAACAACAGAAGTTTTTGTTTTTTTTATTTTTATTTATTTATGATAGTCATACAGAGAGAGAGAGAGGCAGAGACATAGGCAGAGGGAGAAGCAGGCTCCATGCACCAGGAGCCCGACATGGGATTCGATCCCGGGTCTCCAGGATCGCACCCTGGGCCAAAGGCAGGCGCCAAACTGCTGCACCACCCAGGGATCCTTAGAGCCATGTTTAAAACAGAAAATTTATTTGTTGTTTCATTCATTATAAAAGGACCAGTGATCCACGCTTCTGGAGAGTTAATAAAGAATTAAATAAGACACAGCTTTTGCCTCAGTGAGTAAGGAAAGATATTTAAGGAAGTAATTTTAATAGAATAGCAGTGAGAAATGCTATGGGAGCATTGATGATGGGGTAGTTAATTCTGTGGGGGTTATTTTTTTTATTTTAAAAAGTATTCAGTTGAGCTTTTTCTTAAAAAATTGAATAAGAATTTTTGCTTAGTAGAAAATAAGAGAAAGGCTTTTAGGAAAAGGGACCAACATATGCAGAGGCAGAGCACTGTGAGAGAGCTTGTGATTTTCTGTAGAAAGTACAGATTTCAATGTACTGGAGTATAAAGCCCTTAGACCAGAGTGGAGGAAGAGAGGGCCAGAAGGGAGATTGATGTAGGCCTCATCCATCATGCTAAGGAGTTGGTCCTTTATCAAGTAGATAGTGGGAAGCCAGTGGAAAGATTTAAACAGATAAATTACATAGCTAGATTTGTGTTTTAGAAAGGGAGCTTAGGCAGCCATGTCCAGATGGCAGAAGGACAGTTGTCATGGACCAGATGAAGACTGGAGGGTCTGACCAAAGGCATGACCCAGGGAAAGAAGAGGGGAGGAGACTTCTGTGAGATAGTGTTAACATTTGGTCATGCATTTCACTGTAAGCATCATGTCAGGTACTTTACGTGTATTATCTCATTTTAATTTTTACCACAGCTCTTCAGTCTTGGTAATCAATATCCTGTCTATTCATACATCAAAAGATTGAAGTCCAGAGAGGTAAAGTAGTTCACTCAAAATAACAACCTTGTGCAGTGGGATTGGAGCTGGGTGTGTCTTTAAAGTCCTTACCTTGCCCATTCTGCCCTGTGGCCTCCCGTTAGAGGTGTGGGGTGGAGTGACTGATGGGATCCTGGGACCTAGTGAATGCTGTATGTGGAAGGTGTAGCAGAAGGAGGAGTGGAGGCTCGGTGATTCTTACTAGAGTGAGTGGCCTGATGGTGACAATGTAAACCCAAATAGGGAATTTAGTGCATAGAACAAGTTCAAGCACACTCCATTTGCTCATTTACATACAGGTTTCTCTTTTCTAAGAAAACTTAAGCCTATATCTACCTTATATTTTCTTTTTAAATATATGCATTTATAATCCTTCATTCTGGTGTATATTTTCCTAATTAGACAGTTACATATAGTTATAGACAGAGGTATGAAAATCAAACAGATCTATATTATAACTGAAACAGGCTTTTACCAGGAATGGAAGATAGGTTTTCTATAGTTTTGAGCCAATCAAAGTAATTCACAAAACCTCAGGTTAAAGGAGAAATAAATTGTGCTTATCTCAATAGATGCCAAAAAACATTTGATGATCTGCAACCTCAGGCATGAATAAAAACTAAGACTAAAATAGGATGCCTCTCACTTGACAAAAGTTACCCACAGAAAACCTGCTTAATGGAGAAGTGTTTTAAGCAGGCCTATTAGAGAAATTACAGGACCAAGATGACCACTGTTGCTAAGACTATTCAGAATTGTTCTGCAGGTCTTATTGTAGCTAATACAATAAGAAAAGTCATAAGAAGCACAGATACTGGAAAGGAGGAGGTAAACCATTCATTTGCAGACAAAAGGATTGCAAGAGGATCAACTGACACATTATGAGAAGTAATAAGAGACTTCCAGAGCACCTGATAATGAACCTACAGTGCCATGTGCACAAAAGCTACAGAAATGTTACTAGAGGATGTAAAAGGCCTAAATAAAGAAAGATCACATGTTCATAGATGGAAGCTTTGGTATAGCAAAGACATAGATTTATACTGAATCTGTAATTTAGTGTAACCTCCATCAAAATCCCAAAGGATTTATATTGTAATCTGACAAACTGAAAGATTCATATGCAAAAGGAACCAAGATCAATTGGAAAACCAAAAAGGCAAGGGGGATTGGCTACCAGATGTCAAAATATATTTTAAAAGTATAGTAATTAAAACAGCTGGGGAATGATATAGGAATAGACCCCCCCAAAATCAAAGGAATAGAATAGCAAATAAAGCTGACTAATTTATATGACAACTTATATAATAAAAGTACTTGAAAGAAAAGAAAGATATTTAGCACCTGGCTAGGCATTAAAAAAAAAAAAAGATTAAGGGTCCTATTTCCTATCATTCACTGAAATTTCAGATGGATGAAATAACTTGACATGAAAGATGAAATGAGCTTATTAGAAAAAAATGTGGATTATATTTATGACCATGGGATAGAGAAATTCTCCCTAAAACACAAAGTGCAAACACTCTAATTTGTTAACTTTAATGTATCTGTATGAAAAACTAGCTCTCCCCTCCCCCCAAAATCAAAGATTGAAGGACAAAGATGGGAAGAAACTGTTTGCATTTATAAAGTAGACTAAGGATTAGCTTCCAGAATTTGTGAATGACTTTTATATAATAAGTCTATGAGAAGAGGACAAACATGCAGCAGAAAAACACACATTTTATAGAGAAGTAGCTCATTAAAAAGGAAGCCTATGTGGCATATAAACATGTGAAAAGATGCACATCCTGTTATTCTAGGAAATTCAAAACAACAGGATACATTTTCATTTGTCAAGTTGGCAAAGAGTATAAAGGGTTTGGTAATAAGTATTGGCAGTGATGTGTGCCCACGCTGCCAGTGGGAATATAAATTCGTGTACAGTCACTTAGGCAAGCAATATGGTGTGATATCTATTAAAATAACAAATGTGCAGATTCCACTGACCCAGAAGTTCCACTTCTTAGAGTCTGCCCCAAGAAAATCCTCTCATACCTGCCGAAGGAGGGATTTTATAAGGGAATCTACTGCAGTGTTATTTGCAATAGAAAAACACTGTGCACATCTTAATTGAAGTCAGTAACAGAGTAGCCAAACAAACTATGATGTATCTATGTTCTTCTTAATCTGAAACAATGAGGGATGTGTGTATTACTTATGGACATGGGGCCATCTTTGGGACATCCCGATGGATTGCAGAGAGATTCAAACTGTGATGTCATTTGTTCAAAAGCACAAAATATTTATAGGGGCGCTTGGGTGTCTCAGTCTGTTAAGCATTTGACTCTTGAGCTCAGCTCACGTTTTGATCTCAGGGTTGTGAGTATAAGCCCCGAGTTGGGCTCCATGTGAGGTGTGGAGCCTACTTAAAAAAAAACTATAATATGTATATATGTGTACATGTATATGAATATACACATGTGTATACCTCTATACATATGCACACAAGCACATACACCAAATTGATCACACTGATTACCTCTGGGGAGAGGACTAGTGTTAGGGGGTGATGGTGTTAAAAGCCTCATCTGTAATATTTACCTGGAGAATATATTTGTGTTAAGAATTAGAAAAAAGTAATACCTGTATAGAAATTAAAAGAAGCAAGGAAAAAACCCATTAGGCAACATGTTGGCATATTCTATCTCCTAGGTTTTTCAGTGTTTCTGATATTTTTGGTGTATTTTTAAGTTATATAGGTAATATCTACTTTTTAAAAACAGCCAACTCTAAGGTAAGTAAAAATTCCTTTCTTCAAAGGGTCACTCTTTTGCATAGCCTGATGTTCCATACTTTTTTTGTACATATATCAGTAT